TGTCTATCTTCTTATGTTGAAATTACTATCATTGAACTATATATGTGAAGCTCGTCACTATTTTCAGTCCATTATTTAGTCTTGTTACTTACTGAGTTGGTTGAACTCACACTACACCCTGCACTTCGTGCGTAGATCCAGGTATTTTCAGACACGGTGGGTGTTGATTCTCTGCACAGCTTGATCGTTTGGAGATTCCAAGGTAGTTGTCCGGCGTTTGCAGACCTTGTCTCTCATTCCCTATCTTTCCTCTTTATGTATTTAGTTTCAGACTAACATAGACATTATTTCCAGACTTGTGTTGTATAGATGCTCATGTACTCAATGACATCCTGATGTTGGGAATTTCCGTATTGGGTTTTGACTTTCTATCTAGTTTTTGAGAGTTTTGATGATTTAAACCTGTGTTGTTTAATTTTTCATTTAAAAGTGTTGGAAGTATTTTGAAGTGTCAGCTTGCCTAGTAACATGTTAGGCGCCATCACGACAGGCTAAGTTTTGGGTCATGACATATATAATCTGTTAGATCTAAGTTGATTTCAATGATGCAAAATAACCAATTACTCCTTATGTGCATGAACAGTTTTTGAGTAATAGAATGGAAGGCATAAATGAATCAAACGAAAAAGGAAAGAGGAGAATAAAAATTAATCAAGGGAACTGGCACAATCAATCAAAATAGATATTATAGGAAGGATATCAATCAAAGGAGGCCAAGGGCACGAAATCATATGTTAAAGATTCTCCCACTTAAAGACGTCAATTGAAGCATCAATCAAGGGATTTGGAAATGGGAATATTCTCTCATTAAAGGAAGAAATGATTCAAGCCCACGAGTCAAGGCAAATCAACAGAAGAATTAATCTTGGAAAGAATCAATTTTTGATTCCTTTCTGAGTAACCCTCCCTTGGGTTTGCAATCTCTTAAAAAGACATACAAGACATGAAGGCCTCAAGAAGTATAAATACCTACTGCACCAGCCTTGGAAAGATATACTTTGATCAAACCAATTTCAATCTCTTTGTTCTACTTCAAACAAACACTATAGTCTGCTTTAGGTTTCTTGTGTAACAAAGAAGAGAAGAGAGAGAGAGAGAGAGAGAGAGAGAGAGAGAGAGAGAGAGAGAGAGAGAGAGAGAGAGAGAAGAACATTGGTGAGTCATTGTATCAACTTTAAAGAGAAGAACAAAGTGACAAAAGTTGTTGATGTATAACAACATCAACCCACCTTTACTAAGCTACTTCATACTTGAAAGAGGTCACCCTTGCAACCCAAGGGGACTGGACGTAGGATTCACTCTGAATCCGAACCAGTATAAAACATACTGTGTCATTTATTTTCTGCATTTTATCTTCTATATTTTGTTCCTGAAAAGCCCAGTCGACTAGAATGCAAATTAGTTAGCTACCTTGAAAAAGAAAAGAAAAATTACAATTCACTCCCCCACCCCTCTTGCACTTTCAATTGGTATCAGAGCAGGTCTCACATTTTTTGCTTAACAGTTTGTGAGGAAAGATCATGGCAAATCAAGTAACTGCTGGAGCACTCTTTCAAGAAGGAACATCACAAACCAGGCTACCATATTTCAATGGACAACACTTTTCTCACTGGAAAGTACGAATGGAAATCTATGCAAAATCTTATGATGTAAAAGTATGGCGCGTTATCAAAAAAGGGAACTATCCACTACCAGCAGCAGCTCAACCACCTACTAATCTTGAAGATATAGATGAATACACAGACGAACAAATGGTGGTCGTTCAGGTTAATGTTAAGGCACGAAACCTGTTGTATAACGCTATAAGTAGAGAAGAGTATGAGAAAATTTCAAGTCATGATACTGCCAAAGAAATGTGGGACGATTTGGAAGTCACCTATGAAGGAACCAGCAAAGTGAAAAAAACTCGGATAAACATGTTAGTTCATGATTATGAACTTTTTCAGATAAAAGAAGGGGAATCCATTGAGGAAATGTTCGCAAGAATCAGCAAAATCATTGGCGATCTGAAAGCCTTTGGTAAATCCTACTCAAGTGGTGATCAAGTTTGAAAAATCCTAAGGAGTTTACCTACCACTTGGCAGACGAAAGTGGTTGCACTCGAATCTCAAGATCTAAACAAACTTTCATATGATGAACTACAAGGAGATCTTATAGCATTCGAGAAAACTCATCTCACGAAAACAAGTCAGAAAGAAAAGAAGAAAACAGTTACCTTCAAAACTACAACTGAAGGACCTGAGAATGATATTGATGACGACCCAGAAGCTCTTGAAGAAGAAATTGCCATGGTATCGAGAAGCATGGATGGATTGATGAGAAGGTATAGAAACACAAGAAGTGGAAGGATGTCATCCAGGCGAACCAGGAAATACAATGAATAAGATAAGAATGATGGGAAGTATTATGAATGTGGAAGATATGGGCATGTTCAAGATGAATGCCCAGGTCTTAAAAGAAAAGTCTACAGAGGGTTCAATAAAAACAAATCCTTCGGAAGCTGGAGTGATTAACATAGTTCAGAACATGAATAAATAGCAAATATGTGCTTTATGACCATCCTGGAAAATGACATGAACAAATACTCTAGTTGTTGGACTGATGAAGATACATCAGATGATGAATGCAAGGAAGATACTGAAAATGGTTTCATGGCACGAGGTGAAACAAGCGAGGTAAGATCCTATAACTGTGATAGATGTAATGAATTGTAGGATATTTTTGACCTTACCCAAAAAGTGTCTCAAAAATTGTTGAATGAACTAAGGAGACTCAATACGGAAAAGAAAGATTGGGAAATTAAGCTTAAAGTCTGTGAAATTGAAAGAAATGTACTCCAAGATGAAGTTCAGGAATTGCAAATGCAACTTAATGGCATGCGCAAATCCACTAGTCACAGTTCTGTTAAGACTAACCAGGCGACTTACAAGCTAACTGGAAAAGGACTGGTTAGAACTGAGTCCACAAGTACTAACACAAGTGGTAGATTGAAAATTGGATCAACCTCTATGTGTCATTACTGTACAAAGTTGGACATAAATATTTCTTTTATCGATTTCGTAAATCTAATGTTTCAGGATGGATTTGAAAACCCAAAAATAACCCCGATTCCAGTAGAATTAATCAACAAGGAACCAAGCAAGGTTGGGTACCTAAAAGGTGACAATTCTATTTTATAGGAACACCACAAAAAAAGCTGCAAAGGAAAATGGTATTTAGACAGTGCGTTTTCCAGTCACATGACAGGTGACAAAAATCTGTTCAAAGAAGTCACAAAAAAATGGTGAAAATGTCAAATTTGGTGATAATTCAAAAGGAAAGATAATTGGTACTGGTACAGTTCCATTTGGAAATAACTGTGATATTACAGGGGTATATCTTGCAGATGGACTCAACTACAATATTTTGAGCATAAGTCAGCTATGTGATTCGGGATATGAAGTAAAATTCAAGAAAACATTATGTGCCATTAAAGATTGTAACGACTCGGCTGGTCGTTTTGAGAGTTGTAGCCTCGTTCCCCCATTTACTGCTCATTTTGTACCTTATAGCTGTTATGTGACTTGTCGGGGTAGTCCGTTCGGGTCCGGAGAGATTTCAGAATGAATTGAGACACTTAGTCTCAAAGTTGGAAGCTTAAGTTGAATAGGTTGACCGGATATTAACTTATGTGTAAACGACTCCGGATTGAAGTTGTGATGGTTATGTTAGCATCGTTGGGTGATTTTGGACTTAGGAAAGTGTTCGGATTATGATCTGGAGGTACGTAGTTGAATTAGGCTTGAAATGGTGAAAATTAGATTTTTGGAAAGTCGGACCGGGAGTGAAATTTTTGTATCAATTCTCATGTCTGGCAGGTTCATATTGATTTTCAGTTCTGGAGCATTTTGCTGATTGTTGACTGCTAGCATTTGTTAGGCACCAAGGGATTATGGACTTTTCTTTGTCTTCTCCCTTGTTTTGGATGATTCAGTGATGTTATTGATTACTTCCACTAATGGGGGTTCACACCTACCTCTTCTGTTTTTGACCGCAATCCTACTATTCATCACAGTTTCTCTTCCTCTGCTAAATTGAACATTTGTCTGCTGCGAGGATTGCTTTTCTTGTCACTGGAATATCAGCAATTTGAGAGTTTGTGGATGCATTCCGGTTAGCCTCATCATTCTTCTTCACTCCTTTTCCTTTTTGATCTAGTTGATGATTCTGTTCTTGTTTATCCTTTGTCTGTTCATTCTCCTGCACCCCTATATTTCTACCATTGGCTTGCTCATTATCGCTCTTCTCCTTCTGCTTACCAAGTTCCCTTTCCAATTGACTAATTTCGTGACCTTGTAGTCTAGAGTGATTGCAGTACTTAGAGACCCCTTCGTATTCAACCTTTTTCTCGGATATTAGCAACATTTCTGGACCTAACAAAGAAATGGCTTAGTCTAGACTTGAATAATCAATCTCAACGTGAACTTTGGCCATACTTGGTCTGGTCTTTCCATTAGTAGCAATGTCCATGTTCATTGGGGTTCCAACTAGGCTCAAGATTTATTTGATTTAGTGTCAGGTATGCAAGTGAAAGGGAAGTTTTGGCAAAAGAACCCAAACCGGAGCAAGAGAGCTATCTTCTTTAGGGGTTAATAACATCTATATGTATGGAGAGAATTTTTTTAGTTCTCTGTTTTGACCCAACCACTTTTGAAATTAAAATGAAGATAACTTGAAAACCAGTGACCTAATCGACAATGGAGATTGGGACTGAGCTCCCATATCTTTTGAACTTCCTAGTTACATTAATAATATGATCAAGTAATATATATTTGACTTTTAACCCTGCAGTGGAGGTCAGCAATTGAATTTTCTCTACTCCTACTGCTTATGATCTTATCAATCCTCCTGAAAATGATCTCAAAAGTTTCAGATGGATTAAAAAGTTCCAAACAAAATAAAATTCCTCATGTGGCTTTGCTATCATTTTCCAACTAAAAACAACTTGAATCACATTGGGATTAACATAAATAATGTGTGCAAAATGGATAAGGAAACCCTAGAGCACATATTCCTCTACTACAAAGTGCTAGTAGTTTCTGAGGATATTTTAATATAGGCTCTACCAACAATAAGGAGGATATTCATCATCTTCCTTATCATGAATAAATTCTTAAATTTCAAGTACATCCTGATAAAGCAACGGTGACAACCAGATACATATTTAAAGCCACAACACATGAGGACCTGGTCAATCTTGCAGGAATACAAAGGCATCAAAAATGGAAAAGAAAAGTGAAAAAGTACAATAGCTGCCCTTCATCCTCATCATAATAACTGATTCGAGGAGAATTATGAATCTAGAATTAGAAGAACAGTCACAAAATAGGTGTGAGATCAGTCTTAAATAAGTGGTGTATCAAATTCTTCCGGCAGTCCCATGGCACAAATATGGATTACATACCTTCTTCACTCAAGAGGTTTTCTCATCTTTCTGTAGTTCATTACTTGGGTTGAAGGACTACATGCTGCAGAACAAATGATTAAAAACAAAACAAAGAGTCATGCCTCAGCAGCTCCACACACGCAAACAAGTGAAAAGTGGAGAGTAGTTATTAAAATATATTAGCAATAAAACCTAACCAAAATCTTATGGTATTCACCAGATTAAGTTGCTACCTTGATTTGTGTTCTGTTGTATGTATAAGTTATGTGAACTAATCCATCAGTAGATTGGATAACAGCTGGATAAGAGAACTCTCCTACAGTCTCCTCAAGCGTAACAACATCGTGCCACGAATCTCCATCATCTTCTGAGAGTGCTACCTTTAGCACACCCCTAGAAATTGTATTGTACGCAAGCAAAAGACGACCATCTTTCAGCTTTGTTCCATCAATCCCTGCTTACCAAGTAATCACATAAGCCATAACTACGTTGGAATGAATAGTTGCTTCTCATATTCTTGTGGAAAGTCATATTGCTAATGTTCACGCCTACAGTTTGTGAAAGCATGTAAGTTTGATCACATGTAAAAATCTCGTAGCTAAGGAAACCTATGAAGAAACAAAATGTAACCATAGTAGTACAGGTACATCATTTTCAAACACCCTAAAGATGAATTGCATTTTCCTACATAGTTACCTGAGTTAGGATTCGGCAGTTCAGTAGGCTTTGCATAACTCCAAGTATAACCACTGTCATGGGACTCCGACATGCAGATCTTATTAATGCCAGTGAATGATCTTAGAAGAACACGCAACGTCCCATTTGCAGTCTGATAAGGGACGGGTTGAATCACACTAAGAGGGTTATTCTCGATGTATATTGGGCCGTTCTTCCTCCATGTCCTACCTGAATCGGCAGTCATCTGTAGTAAAGAAACAGAAGGCACCCTTTAGTTCCATTAGAACACAGTAGGAATGGATTCTTAGCATTTTCCAAATATTTAGTACTACCTCCATCCATGCTCCCCAAGAGTTCCAACTCTCCACAGATGATCCACAAAGCAAGGAACCGCTTTCCAGCAAGATAGGCTAACGAAAACAAGTGAAAACTTATTCTTAGCTTATCAGATATTCTTAGAGTTGATACATCTAAGATATGGATGGAACTTAAGAGTATTGAATTCGCCACATTCATGCCTTATTTTTTATTGGCCCCAATATACCAGGAGGAAGTTGTTCTCTTGCTGTCCATGTAACACCACCATCGTAAGATCGCTTCAAGCATCCACTCCATCTAATGTATCAAAACCATCAGCAAGCATCGGGAGCACAAAGTATGCTGGAGAAGTTCAATAATTTCAATTTTTGGTTATACTACATGCCAGCCTTTTGATTAACTCATTGACTAAATTTTGTTATAGAATTATGAATTATTATAAGTATAATCAACCCTTACTTTTGGAACTAATTTAGAATTTAGAAATGCTGTAAAACTGTTTTAGAAAATTTGAGACAATTTTTTGGTGACCTTTTTTGGAATGGTGACTAGGTCATCTAATTTTTCTAATTTTGTTTGACCTTTGGAATGGTGACTAGGTCAGCTTCTGAGAAATTGCAGATTTTGTTAAACATTTAACAAGCTCGATAACTCTTTAAAACTTAAAGAACCTTGATATAATTGATAATATGCCATTACCTCAGAAAATAACATATTAATGCATTAAGGGATGAAATGAGAAAAGTAACTAAGGGCATCAATGTTAGTGCACGTTTTGAGCAGTACAAAAATGATATCAAATACTAATGAGCCACAGTATAACTGTTAAATGAAAAATATATAAAAAATGAAGGATGTTATAAACTATTGACACTGAAGAGTTTTATTAGTGGTTTCCCTAGTAAAAGGCAAGTTTGAACGTATCCCATGGACGTGGTAAGTCAACATCGCATTCAACAAAATAGAAAAGATAGTAGTACTTTAAATTCAACAATTTACTGTGATGTAACTCGAATAATATGCATGACCAAGGAGTCATTTACATGAGAATGAAATTTAGCTCCCAATTATTGCATAAAAACAAGAAGTCAATGCATTTGAAGAAAATATTAACATTTTCTCAACTCTTTTATGATTAATAAGATTATAATCAGGTTGTAAGGAAATGCAAAAAGACTTAAAATATTACTCCTATTGACTTTGTGCGCAAAACACAGCTTTGGTATGAAATGCAGCACCTTTGACTTTATGCACAAAACAGAGCAAGGGTATGTGAATAAATTTGCGTTTGTTATGAAATTGATTGTGACTTCATGTTCTATGCATTAATAGTTTTCTTAACACTCTTGTAGTAGTTCATGCTAATACAAAAATTATCTTAGCTCTTCAAGTTTCACGTATTGATGGAAGGTAAGTAGCAAGACACGTCGTTTTATTTTACTAGTGAGACGCTGAAAAGGTTTAACAGATACATGCCTATAAATGCCTACAAACTGTACTCCCCTCGTAGTAAATTATTGTGTTATCAGTGTTTTCTGGCGAACAATATCACATTGTATCATTCAATGAAACTTAATTGTGGAAAACAAATCTGACTATAAAATGTTAGCTTTGAAACTAAAAGCTCAAACATCTTATGGATATCTAGAGTCTGGTTAGAGATCTGCATAATATAATTATGCCACTAGATTAAAAGGGAAGCCTGAATACTTACTTTTGTACCTCTTGCCCAATTTTATAGAATAATAGTACTTCACTGGAAGGAAGCTTAAACAGTACAGGGTTCCACATTGAGACATTAAATTCCTCATCAGCAATTACAGGAGCGTTCCAATGGCCATCCTGCTCAAAATGTTTCATGTTTTCAATTGAATTATCCCATACAACAACAACAACAACGACCACTAAAATCCCACAACAACAACGACCACTAAAATCCCACAAGTGGGGTCTGGGAAGGGTAGTGTGTACACAGACCTTACCCCTAGCCCGAAGGGGTAGAGAGACTGTTTCCGAAAGACCCTCCGCTCAAGAAGACGGAAAAGACAAGAAGAGAAGGGAAGGGACAATATATTAGTACCATCAAACAGAAACCAAAGAAATAATACCAGCATCATAAGAACTAGAAAATAGTTGAAATGCAATAACAAAACTAGAAAATAGTTGAAATGCAATAACAAAACCAGAAAATAAGCCCCGATGCTATGAAAAACGGAAGGATAGTGTGAACACAGCATTAACCACTAGCAGTCTAAGGCCAACCCTATCGAACTAGCCTCACCCCCGGACTCGACTACGTCCTAACCTACAACCCTAATGCTCGACCTCCACACCTTCCTAACAAGAGCCATGAATTATCCCATAATCAGTTTAAAAAGGTAAATCATCTGAGGACTTCACATGTCAATAAGTTTGAAACGATATTTAGGAAAGGTCAATGTAAGTTCCGTAACGACTTAGCTGATATTAATGAACTATAAACTGAAACCATCGGCTCAAATATTGGTTTGCAGTAAAATGCTGATGTATATTATACAAAGAAAACACGGCATACCACCAAAAAGCTAGAGAACTCAAGTTGTACAGGATGTGATTACCTTAAAAGTTTGTACCCAAATTTTCACATCAGGAGCTCCCTCTACTGTACCACCAAAATAAGCAACCAAGAAATGATCTTTATTCACCTTTATAATAACCAAATCAGTCACAATCTCAGACCATCAGTCAATGAAAAAATAAAAGTCAATCTACCTAATGACTGAACCTGAACTAAAATTTATCACAACCTCAACAATAGTAGAAGCATGACAATTATTGAACGGGGCCGAATTAGCTGCAAAAGTGAACTCCTCTACCAATGGAACCCATGACCGATTATCAATCTCCATTTTGACAATTGTTGTGGTACTTGTTAGTACTCTTCTTTCCTCACTGTATTAAGTAGATCAGACACAAGTAAGGTTCTTTGAAGTTGAAGAAAAATATATTTAAATTGTGGGGAAAAGAAATAAATATTCTCTGTCCCAAAAAGAATGACACTATTTCCGTATTAGTCCGTTCCAAATAGAATACCTTTCTGAATTTGGACACGATTTAACTCGAACTTCTCATTTTACCATTAATGATAAGCTTTTATAATCACAAATGTTATGGCATGTTTAAGACCACAAGTTTCACAAAAGATTGGTTTTTTTCTTAAACAGCATATCAAATCAAATTACGCCATACAAATCAAAACGGAGGGAGTAACATAAAGGAAAAAAGGAGTGATTTATTCAAAGAATAAACCCCTCTTTAAGAACCCAGAAAAACTCAAAATACTATGTTCTATAGTATGGCCAGTACTCATTTTTTAAAAGAATATGCATATACCTCCCAAGAAAGGTATCAACTGGATGAGATATAGAAATAACCAACTTATGTTTGGGCTCCAATATATACTTAAACCCAGAAAAAGAACCATAAAAGTGAGAAAATTTGAAGAAAGAAACCAAAAAGATAAAAAGAAACAACAGTGGAATCAACACAAAGCTTGAAACTTTAGTGCAGTTGGCCATGAAAATGCAATTCAAGAACTTAAAGAATCTCAGATTCAGCACTTAGCTAAACAAATTCAGTACTTATCAATAGCAAGAGCACAAAATTTGCACATACGACAAGAAATTAGGTACCTGAAGTCAAAATGGCGAGAGATAGATGTGGGGTTCACCTGCTATCTCTTATACAGGGATTAGGGAGTAATAAATTGTTTAAATGCTCAATCAGCAATCTGCTGAAATAAATTCAAGATTTGAAGATTACTCTATTAATCTTTTTTTTAATCTCAACTATCACAGATACTGGAATTTTTAAAGTTGCCTATCAAAAGAACAACCCTTTAAAGTTGCCTATCAAAATACTTTATTAGTTTAAAGGGTTGTTCTTTGGAAAAGAAAAAACAATAATGGGGTGCTTCAGTAGGAAAAACGTGAAAGAGCAGTGTGATTATGCATATAAATGGATGAAAATTTGAATATGGCGATATATATAATTGTCGACTCTGCTGATGAAGTGTCTCTAATTGAGCTAACCCAGCCGAGAGAACAAATCTGAAAAATTGTACTTTGGATCTTCACTTAAGATGGTCAGCAAATTCTCAAAAGTGGTGTATATTTAGTCCAAAAATCCAATAAATTACAGGCTCAAATGGGTGGTTTGGGCTGATGTTGAGCGGGTTAAGATGGGAGCCAATCCTGCCCAGAGGTTACATGGGTAAGGGGGCTAAACAAAGAATCATAGACCAGCCGGTCCATCTTGACCCAGCTTTTCTTTTTTCTTCTTGGAGATATCAGTTAAAATTTTAAAAATTTTAGCTCCTATAGCAAACGTATACACTCTATTTGTTATAAACGAATACAATTTTAAAATATTATTTTTTATAGCTACCTTTTATATTTTATAGCAAAATAGGTATTTATGATATATACTATAATTAAGTTGTGAAATACGCTATTTATGTTTTCTCGCTCTCTCTTTCAATTAACACACGATTCTCTCTCAAAATTCCAATAAAATTTTTCTTTTTTCTCTCTCTCTCTTCCTTCTCTCTCTTCGAGTACGCCGGAAATTGCAATAAATTTGTACTGCTTAGTTTCTACGCCAGATATTGTAATGAATTCCTCTACACTTGATACAGCAATATTTTTTGAATTGCATAAACTCAAAACAAGAAAAGAGAAAGAATAAATATGTTGAGTCACACCCAATTTGTGATTTGACCGGTCGAAGAAGTCGAGCAAGCGTTTTGGGTTAACAACCAATTTCTTTCGATCAAGCACGGAGTGGACCACATCTGGACTGAGCTTTCGAGGGATTTCCGATGACTCCAAGAAAAATTTCCAGTTTTTATGTTTCAGAAGCGTTGAGATTTTCCAGTTTTAGTCGCATACAATGATATAAATACATTGTATTATGTACAAATTCACTCAAAAATATTATATTTTTACATAAATCACTATTGTTTAGTGGCTATTAACTTCCTATAGCTACCATATACATAATTACTTCCTATAGCTACTATTCAGTTATTACGGTAGTGTATTCGTTGTATTCGCGCCATGTATTCATGAATACAGCAGCAAAAGGCGCCTAAAATCAGGGCAGTCCAGTTGTACGCGCATGTATTCACATGTATTCGCGCCATGTATTCATGAATACAATAACGACAATCACCTTAAAAATAGGCATGTCCAGCTGTCTAATAACGGAAATAATATCAATTAGCGTGATACACTCCTAATATAACTCAACAAAATCAATTCTTATATGCCTCATTATCAACCCAATTAATTAGAATGATTTTTAGTTATATATAACTGTTGTATTTAACTTTAGTATTTAGTGTGTTTCAATTTTTTTTTACTGTTGCATTCATTAGATTAAATTTTTGTATTTACTGTATTCACTATTTTATATTCAGTGTATTCAAATGAATTTGTATTAGCAGTATTTTAGTTATTCCTAATACATATTATTACTGTTGTATTCAGTATATTTCATTGGTTGTATTCACTTTATTTTACTGTATTTTAAAATTAAATGTATTCACTATTTATATTCTGTTCTATTTTAATGTTTGTATTCAGTGTATTTCAATGTTTATATCATGTATTCATGCATGAATACATGTGTATTTAGCTGTATTAAAAAAATATAAACCTTCGAAATACATAAATACATACAAAAAATATATTTATAGAAAAATATAATGTATTTGAGTGAATTTGTACAGAATACAATGTGTTTGTATCATTATATGTGACTAAATAGCAAAGAAGGGAAGAAAGTTCGCCGGATAGTGGTTTCTATAGCTACCACTAAAATAGGTATGTGACTAAATTATGTATTCGCACCATGTATTCATGAATACAGCAGCAAAAAGCGCCTAAAATCAGGGCAGTCCAGCTGTACGCGCATGTATTCACATGTATTCACGCTGATGTATTCATGAATACAACAGTAAAAAGCGCTTAAAATCAAGGCAGTCCCAGCAGTACGCACATGTATTCACATATATTCGCGCCATATATTCATGAATACAGTAACGACAATCACCTTAAAAATAGGTATGTCCAGTTGTCTAAGAGAGATGAAAAACATAAATAGCGTATTTCATGCCTCAATGGTAGTGTATACCATAAATATTTATTTTGCTATAAAATATAAAAGGTAGCTATAGAAAATAATATTTTAAAATAATTTTGATTTATAATAAATTGGGTGTATACCTTTGCTATAGGAGGTAAAATTTCCTAGATTCTTTCAAATAGGAAATGGGTAAGCCATCACTGTTAAAGTTTGAGTAGCGACGGGTTGAGTTTGGATTGTCTCATGGGTTGACTTTGGGCTAACTGTTGTCATGGGTCAGGATGGGTTATGCCCAAATCAGCCCATCGGGATCATGCCCAGCCCATTAAATGTTGGGCGGCTTGGACGGGTTATATGGGTTTGGACGGCTTTTGCCCGCCCTAACAAATTACATGTGAACAAAAATATGTCCTTACTTTATGTAGGCTTTGGACATTATTTTGTTGAAATTGAAAAAATAGAATTTGACACTTATACGCAGCTCTTAAGAACTATTGCCAGCCACTTAAACCCGTTTGCCAAGCTATCAAAAACTATTTTATTTGAAAAAATACTTCTCTTCAAAAGTACTTTTCGAAAAGGGAAAAGAGCCAAATATATCCCTCTTCTTTCGAATATTGTCTACATTTAACCTTTGTTATACTATCCGGCTAAATTTATCTCTACTGGTATACTATCTGGCCAAATTTACCCCTATCATCAGCAAACATTAAAAATTACCTCTTGATCTGTTAAATAATCCAAAATCTCCTAAATTTCTTTTATTTAAATCACTTGTTGTTCTTCTTGTTCCATTATTTTTAGAAATTACTATTGATGTGAATGCTAAAATTACTAGACTATACAAATTATTCATATTTTTTTTAATTACCAATGCACCCACTTCTTTTCTTGTAATAATGGGTTTGGAATTGGTTTAAAATTTTATTTATTTTTCAATCATATACACACCGTAGAATTCAGTGGGTCTATTTATTGTGTATTATATGCAGTTGATTATCATGTATGTACATGTATATTCAAATATATTTTGTCATTTCCTGATTAGTATAGAGTTCGATTGACTAACTTAAGAGTGCACAATGTGTAGGCATTTGATTAAAGTAAAGTGAAATTCGAGGAACTTCAACTTCAATCACTAATACTTGCAAAATCTCCATACATTTGGTGCAACGAAATTATTAAATTGGGGATGTTGTAAATACTTTTAGAATTTAGAAAAGCTACCCAATTTAGATTTTTCAATTAACTATACTTTGTTTATTAACAATTGTATTATTTAATATTTTTTTCTCTTATTTGTTTTTTTTCCAATTCAGAAAGCAGTTAAATGCCAATTATTTCGAAAATAGTGGACCAAAAAGAAGAATCAGTAATTTAATTAAAATGATTTGGGAGATTCCGGGTCACCGAACAGACTAAGTGGTAATTTTTTAAAGTTTGTTTATTGAATGGGTAAATTTGGCTTGATAGTATAACGGAGGTTAAATGTAGACAATATCTAAAAGTAGAGTGATATATTTAGCCCTTTTTCCTTTCGAAAAAGTATTGTTCAGAGAGTAACAATTTATGCTTGGCCAATTTATTTGAAAAGTGATGTTGGTAATACTTGATAAGCAAATTAGATTTGGCGAATTATGAGTACCTTTGAGTGCCAAATTTCCACTAGATGTCTAGTTTACCATTAGTATTATTTAAAATAGAATAATAAATTCAAATACTTTTTCATAAAAGAATTCAATTATTTTTTTTATTTAATTAAAATACGAAACATAAAGTAAAAGTATATGTGAAAAATTTTAATCAATATAATATATAATTATTCAAAGAAATAATATTGGGTATCTGGTATTACTTACTGTTTACGTGATGATTCAAATACGTCAAAATACATCATTCAATATAAATTAAAAATCTACTCCAAAAATTCTATATAAAAGAAGAGATTTATTTATAGTAGAGAGACTATTCTCCTAAGAAGAATAGGAGAAGGAAAATAAAAATATTACAACAACAACAACAATAACAAACCCAGTGAGTTTTCACAAGTCGGATCTGGGAAGGGTAATGTGTATGCAGACTTTACCCCTACCTTAGGATGGCAGAGAGGTTGTTTCCGATAGACCATCGGCTAGAGAATAGATGAAAAGAAGTAATGACCACAAGTAATAACAATAACAACAACAAGATATTAAGAAAATCAAAGCGAAAGATATCAATCAAACAATAGGTAGAGATAGCAATCTAAGAGTAAAAGGGATTCCATACTAACACTAATGCTATCTGTCTGATAAAGAAAGAGCAAAACACTCGGCCACCTACTAGCCTTCTATCCTAATTCTCGACCTCCACACCCTCCTATCAAGGTACATGTCCACGGTATGATCCAGTTATGCCATGTCTTTCCTAATCACATCTCCCCAATATTTCTTTGGCCTACATCTACCCCTCATCATCCCCACTAAGACCAACCTCTCACACTTCCTAACTAAAGCATCAGTATTCTCCTCTTCATATACCCGAATCATCTCAACGTTACCTCTCGCATCATATCCTCCACGAGGGCCACTCCCACCTTTTCCCAAATAATTTCATTCCTAATCTTATCAAATCTGGTATGCCCGCACATCCATCTCAATATTCTCATTTTAGCTTCTTTTATTTTCTGGACATGAGAGTTCTTGATTGGCCAACACTCTGCCCCATATAATATATTCGGTCTACCCACCAATTTATAGAAATTATCTTTTTAGTGGCGTATTCTTATCACACAGGACACCAAAAGCCATTATTTCATCCATCCTGCTCTAATACAATGTGTGACTTCCTCATCAATCTCCCTACTTTCTTGTATTATTGACCCAAGATACTTGAAACTTCCTCTCTTGGGGATGACTTGTGTATCAAGACTCACCCCATGTCCGCTTCCTGGGTGGTACCTAAAACTTCTTCTTTTGGGGATGACTTATGTATCAAGCCTTACCTCCATGTCCACTTCCTGGTTTACGTCGTTGAATTTGTAGTCCAAGTATTTCGTCTTAGTCCTTCTCAACTTGAAACCTTTAGACTCTATGGTCTGCCTCCAAACCTTTATTCTCTCGTTAACACCACCCTGTGTCTTGTCAATCAAAACTATATCATCAGCAAATAACACACATTGTGACACCTCCCCTTGAATGTGTCGCATCAGTGCATCCATCGCCAAGGAAAATAAAAATGAGCTAAGGGTTGATCCCCGTTGCAACCCCATCACAATCGAAAAGTATTTCAAGTATCCTCTTGTTGTCCTTACCCGGGTCTTAGCTTCATCATACATGTCCTTAATCACCCTAATATAGGCTATAGGGACCCCTTTAGCCTCCAAAAATCTCCATATCGTCTCTCTCGGGACTTTGTCGTGTGCTTTTTCTAGGTCAATGAACACCATATGCAAGTCTTTATTTATTTTCCTATATTTCTCCACCAATCTTCTCACAAGATGAATGACTTCCGTAGTCGAATAGCCCAGCTCTCAAAAATAGATACACTTCTCCTCACCCTCACCCAAACTTTCATCATATACCTTAGCAGCTTGATACCCCTATAATTATTGCAATTTTGGATATCACCCTTATTCTTGTACAATAGAATCATAGTACCCACCTCTATTTTTCGGCATCTTCTTCATCCTTAAAATGATGTTAAACAACCTAGTGAGCCATTCCAAACCTACCCTACCTGCATTCTTCCAAAATTCCACAGGAATTTTGTCTGGCCCGATTGCTTTTACCCCTGTGCATCTTACGCGTAGCCCTATCGATCTCATTCACTCTTATACGCCTACAATACTCAAAATTATGACGACTCTCGGAGTGCTCCAAATCACCCATCACAATGTTCCTATCACCCTCTTCATTCAAGACTTTGCGGAAGTATGTCTGTCATTTTCGCTTAATATGAGCCTTTTCCATTAAAACTTTGCCTTCATCATCTATGAGGCACTTAACTTGATCCAAATCACGAGCTTTTATTTCTCTCATCTTGGCTAGCATGTATAACTTCTTGTCCCAACCTTTAGCCTCAAGCTCTTCATACAAACGTCCAAATGCTGCAATCTTAGCTGCAGTAACCGCTAACTTCACCTCCTTCTCTTAGCCCTCCTATACCACTCCATGTTCGTCCTCTTATCCTCCTCATCTATGCTCTCTACTAGCTTCAAATATGCCGCTTTATTGGCTTTTATTTTTTTTTGTACCTCCTCACTCCACCACCAGTCCCCTTTTGTGGCTGCCAGAGAAAACCTCATGATCCCTAACACCTCTCTCGCATCTACTCTAATGCATTCAGCTATCTTGGTCCACATACAGCTCGCATCCATACTGCTCCTCCAAGCCTTTACAACCAGCAACTTCTCCCCCAACTCCTGAGCTTTGTCATTAGTCAAGTCACCCCACCTAATCCTAGGTTGACCATACACAACCCTTTTTTCCCTCTTCCTCATGATCTTTAAATCCATTTCCAATAGCCTATGTTGAGTCGTGAGATTCTAACTTGGCATAACCTTGCAAAGCATAGACCTCTATAACACTTTCGGAGGAGTAGATAATAAATTTGGGTCTTAGGCATAATGAAAGTACAAGAGGGGGTGAATTGTAGCCTTTTTAAATTTCTAGTCGACTACTCCTTAGACCTAATTGACTAATACGGAGACAACATGCACAATATTATTAGTACTTTGATTCAATCAAATACTAATCTCAACAAATAGTAATGGCTTATAATAAAATATGAAAGCAGTAAGGTAAATGATACCAGAAATTTTATACTGGTTCTGAACTAATGTGGTATCCGAATCCAGTCCCCTTGGGTTGCAAGGAGGTTATCTCTTTAGCTCTTTGTAATATGAGTTGAGTACAACTTATGTGATTTTCAACGTTCACCACCAATGTTTACAAGGTTGGTTTTCTCTCGCTCACCAATAACGAACAAGGATTGGTTTTAACACGTACACCAACAACGCAAAAGGTTAGTTTTTACTTGCTCACCAACAATGACCCTTTGATTTTCACTCGCTCATCAAAGAAATAAATAATGACACAACCTCTCAGGAATACTGCCTCTCCAATATTTTTCTGTCTCCCTTCACTCTTTTGTGTATACAGTAAATCTACTAAAAGTAAATTACAATACTTGTTAAGAATAGAATAAAGAAGGTAGACAATTGTATAGAAGGTTGCGTACCCTTCTTTCTTTATAGAGCTCCTCTTTTTATAGCATTTTCAACTTGTTCTCGCTATTGCATAAACCCAGGGATTTTTGAAGATTCTTCCAATCTTTCTTGTAGCCGTTTGTTGATTGCTCCCCTGATTCTTGGAGTAATATCTTGTTTTAGATCTCTCTTGACTGTTGCCAACATTGCTCTGTAAGGTAGACTAGGATATCTTTTATCAATATAAGCTTTCCTTTTGAAATTGACCATTTTAATTATGGAGCTTTTGCATTCTTTGGAATAGCACTTGATCACAATTTCCTTTTTCCAGATATGCCTATTGATTCCCGCTTCTTTGTGCTCCCTTAATTTGCAAAGTCACGCTCACTTCCTTATGCAGTAGATTTTGTATTCAAGTACTCAGATCTTCAGTCCTTGAAATAAGTTTTCTTTTCTTCTAAGTGTGTCCACAATAACCGTTGCCTAATATTCTTCTTACTTTGTCTGTAGAGCTTTTGAACTATTCTCTTCCAAGGGTAACATCAATTTCTTCTGTCAAGCCTTAAAGTATAATCACACGATATATAGTAACTTTAAGAATCTGTTGGTGCTTTCCTTGTAGATAACCCATAAGACTAGTCTTCTAGCTGTAGTTGCTCATCATGGAATAATCTTAGATAATCCTTCCCTATTCTTTTTCATGTGCACATACATGAATTTGGCATTCCCTTAATTTAAGGGTAATTTTTTTTCCTTCAGAGAGGAAAGGTTTCCAAGTCTTCTTTTGCCTTGTAACTAATTCCACCGTAGTCTATATATGGTCATGTCTTGTATCACTAATAGATATTCTCCATCCTTCAGTTGGTAGTCACAATAATATTCCTTGGACAAAGTAACACATTTTCTTATTGGACAGATCTCAAAATATCTTTGAACTTCTATTATATGGGAAATATTCCTTTCTTGATCTTGAAAAATAATCTCTTTCCATAATATAGATTATACTATACCCGTAAAATATTTTATTTCCATATAAAATATATTCTTCCTTGGCCTTGTAGTATCTCTTCCATATAGTATCTTCCTTCCACAAAATAATAGATCTTCTCCATGATTTTAGCAACTTTCCTTTCAAGATATTGAAAAACTTTCCTTCCATAATTTTCGTAGATTCTTCTTCTGATATTGTAGTAAGCCATTCAATATTTGAAATTTGACTTTCAAATATTATTCCTTCTATGACGCTTGGAGATTAAATCTCTGAAAATAATCTTCCTTGATAATATTTTCGCTCATAAATTCATCACATGATATTCTCTTTCTCATATTTCTTTGGATCCTTGCTAACATCTTCTTATTTGAACAAACCTGTGCGAGAATAAGTTTACCACAAGTAAGTGTTATTTGATTAATAAATATATTAGTTTGTTATCATCAAAATCAATGCGTGATACCTTGAAGCTAATACATCATACTCTGGAAGGTGATCAAATGTTTCTCTTTTTTGAGAAATACGAGTTAGTAATCACCAAATCAAAAGCTTTAACACAATCCAACAATGAAGTTCCTCCTCTGTTTCTATCTCCAAAACTGAAGCCGTCATGCATACTGTCATAACCCCCTGAAGTCATCATGATGTGGCCATTGGTATCTCCTCCTATGATAAGCTTCTCGGTGTACGGAATGCCACGGAACAACCCGGCAAAATTATCCCAGAAACGTCTTTTAACCTCCTCGTCCAAACCCACTTGAAGTGCGTAAACACTAATTACGTTTAAAGTAAACCCTCTAACAACCACCTTAATAGTCATCATTAACATGTCGTTCACCCTCCTAACTTCTACCACTTCCTAAGTTTCATGTCAACCAAAATACCTACCACATTATTACCCATCTCGCCTCCTGAGTACCACAGTTTAAACTCATCTGCATCTCGAGCCTTAGTACCCACCCATCTAGTCTCCCGAACACAAGCTATGTTGATTTTCCTCTTCTAAATAATAAAAATGTTAAAAAAGAAAATAAAAATATAATAAAATAAATAGTAAAGAAAAGAAAATGGATGAAAGAAATAAAAAAGAAGATAAGGTTAAATTACTGAGGGATAATTTGGGAATATAAACTTATGGAAAGGATATTTATGTCTTGAAAAAATTAATTTTCTGTTTCTGCTTCTGCTTCTGCTTTTTGGAAGAAGCTACAATTTATAGCTTCTTCCTAAAAGCAAAAAAATTGCTTATGCTACTGCTCAAAAGCACTTCTCCGTCTTATCCAAATACCTCAAATTTTCAAAAAAGAAGTATTCTTTTTACCAAAAAGGGTACTTTTAGTCTCTGAGAAATTTGTCCAAACATGCTTTTAGTCAATAATTGTATTGACACTGTAGCTCAAAAATGATTGGCTTATCTCTCTTTCTTCTCATTTTTCTCTATCGAGCATGAAGACCCACAATATTTCTCTTCTCCAACAACTCTTCAATGACCATTAATATTCTCAAGATAATCATTTATAGCCGAAAAAATGACAGGTCACCAAAAAGCCCAATTTCCAACATATTTCTGTCCAGCCTAATTCTACTTTTTCATCTAACGATATTTATCTCGATTTTTTCTAGGAAGGGGGTCATTCGACTAAGATTTTCTTCTCCGTGGTCTTTATAGTTCGGCTTCGCTCGACTTCCCTTGTTGTGATTCTTATTCCAACAACTAAGTTTTTTCTTTTTAAGACTCATTTGAAGCTTCGATCTTAATCTGAAAATTTTTAAAGTTATTTTTCTAGTGAGTCTGTAATACAAGATGATGGGGAGATTGATGAGGATGTCACACATCATATCAGAGCAGGGTGGATGAAGTGGAGGCTCGCTTCCGATGTCTTGCGTGATAAGAAGGTGCCATTGAAACTTAGAGGTTAAGTTCTACAAAGTAGTGATTAGACTGACTATGTTGTATGAGAAAAATGTTAGCCAGTCAATAACTATCATGTCCAGAAGATGAAAGTAGCTGAAATAAGGATGTTGAGATGGATGTGTGGGAATACCAGATTAGATAAGATTAGGAATAAGGTTATCTGAGATAAGTCATAGAAATCAATTTCAAACAATAATATTCGAATATTTAATCAAATTCTCACAAATCAGAAAATGTCAATTTGATAGGAGGGTGTAGACTTTGAGAATTAGGGTAGATAGCTAGTAGGTAGCCGAGTATTTCGCTCTTTCTTTCTCAGATATGTAGCATTAATGTTAGCATGGTATCCCTTTTACTCTTAGATTGCTATCTCTACCTATTATTTGATTGATATCTTTCGCTTTGGTTTTCTTAAAATCTTGTTATTATTGTTACTACAAGTGGCCAATAAAAATCATGCAGATATGTGCTCATGGAATCTCTATATGACTACGGAAAATTCAAACAATTCAACACATCAAGAATAAATTTACAAGCCTTCGTACAATAAAAAACCTAGGCGTGATATCTAACATGAATAAGATAGCGAACGTAGTTGTATAAGCTAAACAAATCTTGAATCAAATGAGCACTTAATCAAAATAAGGCATAAAATACTTCAATTCTATCCCGATCATTATTTAAACCTGGTAAGTGCATATACGCTCGCCATCCCGTATATACACTACTCCCAATACCTTAAACATGTAGCAATCAAGTCAAATCCTAGGTTGTTTCCCTCTTAACAAGGTTAGCCAAAAGACTTACCTCTACCCGGTAGTCTTCAACCTTCCAAAATAACCTTCCCTCTCAAATCAACCTTCGAACGAGTCAAATCTAGTAAAAAATAACTCGATAGTGTCAAACAAAGTCATAGAAATCAATTTCAAACAATAATGTTCGAATCTTTAATCAAATTCTCATAAATCAAAAAACGTCAATTTGATAGGAAGGTGTAGAGGTTGAGAATTAGGGTAGATGGCTAGTAGGCAGCCGAGTATTTCGCTCTTTCTTTCTCAGATATGTAGCATTAGTGTTAGCATGCTATCCCTTTTACTCTTAGATTGCTATCTCTACCTACTATTTGATTGAAATCTTTCGCTTTGGTTTTCTTAAAATCTTGTTATTAGTGTTACTACTAGTGGCCAATAAAAATCATGCGGATATGCGCTCATGAATCTCTATATGACTACGGAAAATTCAAGCAATTCAACATATCAAGAATAAATTTCCAAGCCTTCGTACAATAAAAAACCTAGGCGTGACCTCTAACATGAATAAGAAAGCGAACGTAGTTGTATAAGCTAAACAAATCTTGAATAAAATAAGCACATAATCAAAATAAGGCATAAAATATTTCAATTCTATCCCGATCATGATTTATAGCTGGTAAGTGCATATTCGCTCGCCCATCCCGTATGTACACTACTCCCAATACTTTAAACATGTAGCAATCAAGTCAAATCCTAGGTTGTTTCTCTCTTAATAAGGTTAGCCAAAAGACTTACCTCCACCCGGTAGTCTTCAACCTTCCAAAATAACCTTCCCTCTCAAATCAACCTTCGAACGAGTCAAATCTAGTAAAAAATAACTCGATAGTGTCAAACAAAGTCATAGAAATCAATTTCAAACAATATTGTTCGAATCTTTAATCAAATTCTCACAAATCAAAAAACATCAATTTGATAGGAGGGTGTAGACTTTGAGAATTAGGGTAGATGGCTAGTAGGTAGCCGAGTATTTCGCTCTTTCTTTCTCAGATATGTAGCATTAGTGTTAGCATGGTATCCCTTTTACTCTTAGATTGCTATCTCTACCTACTATTTGTTTGATATCTTTCGCTTTAGTTTTCTTAAAATCTTGTTATTATTGTTACTACAAGTGGCCAATAAAAATCATGCGGATATGTGCTCATGGAATCTCTATATGACTACGGAAAATTCAAGCAATTCAACATATCAAGAATAAACTTCCAAGCCTTCGTACAAGAAAAAACCTAGGCGTGATATCTAACATGAATAAGATAGCGAACGTAGTTGTATAAGCTAAACAAATCTTGAATCAAATGAGCACATAATCAAAATAAGGCATAAAATACTTCAATTCTATCCCGATCATGATTCAAACCTGGTAAGTGCATATACGCTCGCCATCCCGTATATACACTACTCCCAATACCTTAAACACGTAGCAATCAAGTCAAATCCTAGGTTGTTTCCCTCTTAACAAGGTTAGCCAAAAGACTTACCTCCACCCGGTAGTCTGCAACCTTCCAAAATAACCTTCCCTCTCTAATCAACCTTCGAACGAGTCAAATCTAGTAAAAAATAACTCGATAGTGTCAAACAAAGTCATAGAAATCAATTTCAAACCATAATGTTCGAATCTTTAATCAAATTCTCATAAATAAAAAAAAGTCAATTTGGACCCACATGGTCAAAATCCGAGTCAAGAGGTAGATCCCGACTACCCATAATCCCAGGAGTTCAAATATATAATTGAGTCCAAATAACTCCCAAATCCCCAATTTACACTCTCAAAATTTATAGTCAAAACCCCCCATATTTCTCTTTTAAATCCCACTATTTACGTGTAATAATCCATGAAAAAATAAGATATATTAACAAAATCGAGTAGAAATCACTTATCCTTAAAGTGATGATGAAAGTCTCCTAAACAATCGCCTCTAGCCAAGCTCCAAAACTCAAAATAATAATAATAAAAAGGCCAAACCCTCAAAATATAAGAGGTCTGCTAGCGATTCCGCATATGCGGCAAAACCATCGCAGATGTGAGTTCCACTTAAAACAACCGACCATTGTTTCTGCACTACAATGTTTGCTTCTGCGGAATCACACTTGTGCTCAGACCTCGCAGGTGCGCAATCGCTTCTGTGCATCTGCCTCAGCACATGCGGACTCCCTAGTCCAGCCAAACTCTGCTTCTGTAACCACATTTATGCTCTTGCGACCTCGCACATGCATCAAAAGTTTCGCAGCTACGACACACCAGAAACAGTTCTACCAATATGCTACAAAATGATCTGAAACACACTCGAACCCCCAGGACCCTATCCAATCATACCAACAAATTCATATACCTAATCGAAACTTATCCAAGGGCTCGAAACACCACGAATAATATCAAAACAAAGAATCGACAATCAAAATCCTTCTCTTAAGTTCAAGAACTTCCAATTCTCAACCAAGTGTCTGATTCAAGCCTTACCAATCCAGATTCCAACCAAACTTTGCACACAAGTTTCAAACCACTATATGAACCTATTCCAGGTCTCGAAGTAATAATCTAAGTCTTATATCATCAAAGTCAACTCCTAGTCAAACCTATAAACTCTCTAAACCTTCAAGTTGCCAACTTTCAGCAAATAGAGCCAAAACATCCTAGGAACCTCCAAATCTGATTCCGAACATACACCTAGGTCTAAAATCACCAACTTATTGGGACCATAAGAATACCAATCTAAGGTAGTTTAAACAAAAATCAAACCTTTGTCAACTTTTACGACTCAAGTTTTCAAAATGAGACTAAGTAGCTCAATTCACTATCAAACCTTCCCCAATCCAAACCAATCATCCCCGCAAGTCACAAAATCATGAACATACATACGAGAAGCATCAAATAGGGGAACGGGGATCAAATACACAAACGACCGGCCGGATCATTACGATGACGCTATGCTAGTGAGTTGTGCCAAGTGATTCGGTTGGCCCACGCGTAACAAAAGGGCAAGTCGGGGGGAGAGAAATAAGTCCTAATTTCAAGAGAAAAGGCTTTTTCTTTCAATCTCATTTCAGCCCAGGCTTCCCCAATCACCTAAGGTGAGTTTCTAAAGTGCTTCAAGTTAA